TACTATTCTAGCTCCCAGGAGTATCCAATAAGTTATAAGAAACGCCTTAGAAGTCTCTAAAATATGATAAAATCCTAGAGATTCTACTAGAGGGAAACTGGATAAGCTACTAAGAGAAACAGAATCTGCAATAAGTTTATAGAACTAGTAGTATAGCCCTAGAAGACCCTTATAGGATCTTATTTAATGAATCAGACAATAATGAATCAGTACCGTACGTTACTAGTACGGAAGGAATATACCTGTACCTTGGAGAAGATTACGCCTATATCAGATATGTACAACATCCTGATTTTAATATTAGAGCAATAATCGGATACTATAACTACGATTATAGAACGTATATACAAGGCAAACTAGACTATAGCGGAATCAAACTAAAGCTATTACTATGACTATATTACCTAGAGTAGAGATAAGTTCTTACAGTAACAGTATAGAGGAAAAATATAAAGGCAGAAGTACTAATAACCTTCTATAGAGAAAATAGGACCAGTACATAGGTTATAATTGACTCAGGAGCTGCAGGTAACTTTATAGGGGTTTTAGGGTTTCCAGATATATCCCTACTAAATATAGTAAGATAGTATACTCTTTTCCTACAGTAATCTATTTCTACTTAATATTAGAGATCTCAGCTTATCTAGTTAGCTAATAGCAGTAGATAAATCTTATAGTTATTAAGGATCTAGATATTCTCTTTAGTTATAACTCTATCTAGATAACTAAATAATCTAGGTCTAGTAGAGAGATATATATTAGTGGTTTGTTCTGGTATTCAAGCAGATAAAGTATATAGAGACTACTGCTTATAGAAGCAACTTCTTCTTTTACGGAAAGGAGAATAGGATACTGATAACAGTAGCCATCCTTATAGATAGTAAAGAGAAGATTTATAGTAAAGATAACACTATATCTATAGTAGATAAGAAAGAGCTTTTTAAGCTTTAAGACTAGTATTAAGAGAAAGTATATAGATGACTTTACTAGTATAAAGTAGTAATAGTTTATCAGAATATAATATAAATATATAAACTTGAATACTTATAAATAATTTATAGAAGTATACGATAAATATTAAGATATTATAAACTAATTAAATACTAATACACTAAGCATACGTCTGTATCTAATATAACTTTATACTACTTAGTAATTTGTTTTAGAAACGCTAAGACGTCTGTTTTATATATAAATAGGTTGAGATAGGTTGAAATAGGTTACCTATTTATAATCTACTAGGTTTTGGGTCGATATGTTCAACCTAAAATAGGTTATGGCGATGTCTAACCTTGGGGATATAGGATTTTTGATATTCTTCAAGAATCAGTTTTTGGTTTTTGATTCTTAATACTCGATACTTAATACTTTTGATATTGCCTAATCTAGTCTTCTCTGTGCCAGCCTTGTCTCGCCTAGTCAGTTTCATAACCATTATAGGTTTTAAGAAATTTAGGGTTAGATTATATAACTGTTATAAGAAACTGGAGAAGCTAAAAATAAAACTAGATATAAACTATATGTTAACTTAGAACTTGTGAGAATTTAAAGATAGTAATACAACAGAAATTACCAGCAGTCTAGGTGGGAAAACTAAGAGCAGTCTAGATAGTAGGTCTAACTCTGCCCATATATAAGAGGTCTACACTGCCAAGCAGTGACCCAGACTGCTCCAGGTCCCTTGGGATAGGAAGACCGGACCTTGCTTAATCCGCTTCTTGAGCCGTCCGTGAGTGCCCCCCCCTATCTATTTATATTCCTACTCAATGTAAATGCTTCACCACTTCTCCACGTACGGTCGCAGATCCATCTCAAACACAAAGGTCGTCCGGGGCTGTGCATGGAGATGCCAGTACAAGTCCGCAATCTAAAAGTTCATCAGATTTTTAGGGTATGAAGATTATGCCTCATGTGACTTACTGCTTCTGGACTCAACTTAGCATCCTCGTGCTGGAATATCAAGCTCTTAGTGCGGGGGATATCGATTGCCCCGTCGATGATGGCGTGTGATACATGCACGCCCTGCGGTCCGAACTCACGAGCTAGGGACTGTGCTAGGGCACGCAGCGCAAACTTGGCTGAGGCAAAGTCTGCGCAGTTGGTGGAGCCCCTTATGCTTGCGGTTGCTCCTGTAAAGATTAGAGTTGGCGGGCGCGGCGATATGTCCCTGGCCTTGAGGAGGAGTGGCAGAGTACTCTGAGCAAAGTAAAAGCCGCCCTTTCTATTGGCAGTCAGTTAATACTCTATTATTTAGCTTTTTCTGTGAAAGAAAAATAAGATCAAGACAAGACGGGGGGTATGTACGCCTGAGAAGCAAGAGCACCTGAATAGTCCTCGTCAGTCAGCTCCAGGAACGGCTTGCGCGCCCATCCGCCCCCAGAATTAAAGATAGCCGCAGCAAGAGAAGACCCTGAATATTGTACAGCTATCTGGTCAAAAGCAGATTTGACGCTGCTCGAATCAGACAGGTCAGCGCTAATACCGACGGCTTGGCCACCGCTGGAGTTGATCTCCTGGACGACGGCATCATAGCTTGCAGGGGTTCGGGCTAGAAGCACCACGGAGTAGGTTTTGGCAAAGCGTCTGGCAATAGAGGCGCCCTGTGTTTCTTCTTAGGATCTTGATGAAGCTCGAGGGTAGATAAACATACTGTGCCAGGGCCGACGCCGGCGATGATTGCGAATGCCTTGGAAGCCATATTCTCTGTCCTGGAGTTGCAGATAGAGAGTACGAGTTTGCATCAACAGTACTGCTTTTAAGTGCAACAGTTTGATTTGGCGATTATAAATCGAGCTCTCTCGCCCCGGAGTTTCCGACGCTTAGAAATGCGGGACTGCATCGTCGTATCATCAAGTGCTGGATGATATCATTGCGGAAGAAACTCTGTCCGTCACTCAAGAGAGGAAAATTACTCCAGTTAGATTCTTCCGAGGCACTTACTTGTCTCAGCTAACAATTAAACTATTCTTTCTACCGCACTACTAAATAACACTGCTTGATGTATAGAGTTGTCGCCTCGGGCCACCTAGCTATGGATAAGACGTCAGTTTCTCCGATTTTCTTCAACTCCAGGCTGAACGCCATCTGCCAGCTCTCACCACCCAATATGGACAAGGCAGACTCCTTACTCAGTGACTGATGCTCAATATGGTAAGCCTCTTTACCCCTTAAACAGAATATGAGTCCTAACGACACCCTTTGAACCCGAAACAGCCAAATCAACACCCCCAAATACCGCTGTCCACGATTTTGAGCCAACCAGAAGGGTTCTGCCAGGTCGGGTGGTCGGGCGGTCGGGGGTCTGGGTGGGTGGTTCCAAGTCGAATTTTGGAACCAGGTCCAACTCCCTCAGACCGGGTCAAATTGACTCCAGATTTTACACGTTTTGTAGGGATCTCATAAATCTATACGTAACCGGACGTAAGCCTAATCGGAGCACGGTAAGGTGGCTTTATGAACGGTGGTGTGCTACGGGGATGCGATTTTGATGGGGTGTAGGGCCCGGCTAATGTGACAGGACGTGGGTATTCATTACCCTTGCTCAGTTCTACTTAACTTTGAAGTGCTTATAGGGCTTATAGGTCTATACACGAATCTAGTACTTTTTTGTATTTTTGTCCACCTGTGGACGGGGTGGGTAGTACTAACCGGAGATATATTGCAATCATTGTAATCGTATCGTATCTGTCGTAAAAAAGAATAAAGCGGTGGACTTAAGCCACCCATACCATATCGACATTACGAACAACCTTGGGACCGAACAAAAAGTCCCCAAACGAAAAAGAGAAAAAACCAACAAAACAAAAAAAGTCCAATATGTACATAATGCGCAGAGTACCTGGAATTTCCAAACAGCCAACCGCAAATCAAAACGTAGTAAGCTTTTTCAATCAGCTCTTCTTCCCACCCGAACTCGGGGGCGCTATGTTGACCCTCTCTCCGGCACTTCACCTTCGCTTTACCTCCACAACACCCTCTATTTCCCCTTTTGATCTTCCCTTTACTTCCATGCGGCGCTGATTTTCAATGCCCTCGGATCAGGCAGGGAGGATGCTGAGCGGGCGTAGCGGTAGTCGCAGTAGTGATGATTCACTGATTGATGTTCCTGGGCTCTAGACCTTTTGGCGTCATGCACCGCCTGGGTTTTTCTTCACTTACATGAGACTAGAGGTTATCACCTTTGGGTCAAACTATACCTGATGCAATAGAGCCAGCAAGAAGAGTTCCCAACGTATACGAGCTGTACCCCGACATATACCAGTTGTGCTCTGGTGATTCATCCGTTATTATTAGTAGACCCCCGGGTTTCTGTCTTGATGTGGATCTGCAGTCATCTTTGTTATTATTGATTTCCCGGCCGCCTGACGTACTATCATTTCGGGGGCCTCGGTAAAATTACTGTAATTGAATTCGGTAGCGGTCTAAGTATCCCATTTCTACACAAACCCCCTTGCTGCATAATCCGTTGTTCAACCCCACACAGCATGGGCGAATTCATCTGAACTACATGCTATTCAGCCTGATTTTACTTATTTGCGTATCGCTTCAGTCGCGAGCGGAATGGTATTCAACAGTCTAAAACCCTATAGCAGACGCCGCTAAATTTGAAAAGGAAGGACCGCAGCCATGATCAATAATATAGTAAGGTTGTTTAAACGTATAGTCCGGAATGCGGAGGGGTAAATTGAGTTTCCACTATGATTGCAAAGAAAAGACCAACGCGGACTGATTTGAAATCAATGTGGACTGATTTGAAATCAATGCGGAAATGGGAATTCTGTATCATCAAAATGGCATCACCACTCTCAATGTCCGAATTATTCATACATAGTTATACAGGCTTGTAGGGCTTTCCTTTCGCCTAACATTTGGTATTGCCCTTTTTAAAATATATGGTGCTTCCCTAGCTTGCCTGCATATCACACTAATACTGCGCGCTTTCTCATTCTTAATTTTGGCAGTGTTGTCCTGTCCATTTATCTGCCACTCGCTTTGGAACGATGCCTTTCACAGGAGTGGTACTCATCATTGGAGCGGGGCCCCGCATTGGAATGTCCGTCGCATCCAAGTTCGCGAGTAATGGCTACAAGGTCGCCCTAGTTGCTCGCAATTTTTCAAAAGGGTTTTCTGCAGAAGGTTATCTCAACATCCAGGCCGATCTGTCTGATCCCAATTCTGTTCCATCAATATTCCAAACTGTAGGGAAAGCGTTTAGCGTTCCCAATATCGTCGTTTTCAACGGTTCGTCCATTTTTATACCTTTCTTGGTTATGTGACTAGCTGACGTGCGAAGGGGCTAACCGTCTCATAACTCCTCACGACGACCCTCTCTCCGCACCCTTGGGAACCATCAATGCAGCTCGCACAGTCGGTTTTGATAGTGCCTATATCGCCGCTCAGCATGCTTTACAGGGTTTCAGAATGCTTCCCACTTCAACACCCACAGCGTTCATATATACTGGTAACACATTGAACCAGATCGCAATCCCAGGCGTGATGCCCTTTGCACTTGGGAAAGTGGCTGCAGCGATGCTTGTAGAATATGCCGCCAACGCATATGGTACAGATAGTTACAGGTTCGATCTCTTTTTTTGCCTTTCCCAGTCAGGGTATATTTATTGTATCTGACTCGTGCGCCCAGGTTTTACTTCGTCGATGAGCGCAAACCCGATGGACGACCAGCGGGTTTTCAGATCGATGGTGATGCACATGCAGAAATGTTTTGGACATTAGCTCATGAGCCCAAACAGTCAAAGTGGTTGGTTACCTTTACAAAGGATGGGGGGCGACAGGCATTCGCTGGAGTCGACTTCAATGGCAATACTAGGCACTCGTATGATGAGAAGTTTGGTAGATAATATTAATTTGGAGGACCTGTGATTAGTGGCATCTTTGGACATCTCAACTTGTCATAATCCGTCAACTACAATCTGCAAATTACTGTCGATTCTCGGCAATCCTCCGAGATTATTGATTTCACATTTCCTAGTGACGTACTCACCTGCCTTTGTCTTACAATAAATATCTTCTCATTGGTTTTCTGCCAACCTGTTTCAAGTTTTGCGAGGGTTTGGGATCGAAGTTGATTTCATCGAAATGGTGTAACGGTGACATGAAAAAGACCAGCCAACGCCATCAAGAAAGAGAAGGGAGTCTCCTTTCGTGCATAGATTTGAGGCAAAGAGTCAAGAGTCAAGCCAAAAAAAAAGAAAGAAAGAAAGTAAGAAAGCTTCCCACACCGCACAACCAAACCCCAAAAAGACCGCCCCGGCCAGCAGTAGATTCTCTGTACATTGATTGATATAAGGACACCCAATTGCACCAGGCAGTGGGGGGGTAATAGCCTCAGAAACAGAAAGAAGCCGAACCCAGAACCAGAACCCAAATAAGAAACATGTATACTATACATGCATCACGTTATACGGCGTTGAACAGGCAAAAGGACATCAGATGGAGGTAATCTCCATCGGATTCGGATTGAGGAACAGGTTGAATTTTCGTAGTCGTTCTTAGGGTAAGATAAAAAACCCCGAGGACATGTACACAATTCCACACACCGTGAATGGGACACAAAAAACCTGGCAGAGCATTAGCATTCAAAGTGTGAATGGCAGAACGGCATAAACGCCGCAACCCACCATCACGGCCATCATATAGGCATCATCTAACCCAAAAGCCTTGACTATTTGAAGACGAACGAAACATCGAAGATAGACCGTGATTAACGATACACCAAAAAGCACGACTGCGAGGAGCACCTTGATTATACTTTTGCGTTGTCACTGTACGAGAGTTGGATGGAACATCTGCACATACGACCGTTGACGATGAGGATGGCTTTCGAAGTGTTTTTGCATAATATGGAGTTAGAAGATCTAGGGTTCGCATGACCGTATTTTTGTTTGAACTCGAACTCAGTTAACGACGCCAGAGCACCATACAGGACAGTGACCGGTCCTTTCATAAATTCAAATAATTGGCCACCAAAACCGCTTACAAAACTACAGGAAAAAATCAACTAAGGCAAGAGAGCGCTTCCCAGATAGTCCAACAACCGATTCTTCGAAATCGCAGCGTCGTTTGGAGGCGACTTTCGAGGGTAGTCTTACCTAAGCTGAAATGGCAGCCTATGGATCTGCCGGGCTCACCCGGTTATTTAACAACTAGCAACAGGCCAATACCCCTAGATCTAGGTCCCAGGTTACTAAAAGGGGTGTTCTTGCTGCTAGGGACTCCAATACTATGATTAGGCCAAGGGATATTGCAGAGGAAGCCAAACAAACTCGGAAGTGGGGACGAGAAGCGAAACAGCAGCGGGATGAATGGGCTCGCCAGGATCAAATTAGGGAGTAGGCAAGGGTAACTGGAGATGAAGGCCAGCCAATTTGTTGTATGGACAGACAGAGGATGGCGCTGTAAATTGTATCAAAAGTTGCTAGGTAGGGAAAAATTATGGTTAGACTGAAATTTGATTAGACTGTGGAAGGCCCTCACCGCTCCCCTGACATTTGGAGGCGGGTATACTTCAATGGCGGGAGTATCAGGACAGGACATGAATTATTCAGTTCGGCACCCGAGAAAGCCGAGCGCTTGGTAAGCTACATATTGAATTGTCTTATGATTTCATTATGCAGCAACAGGCTTGGACCTTGGGGCGTTGATTGGCCCCTAGTTATCAACACAAACAGCACAAACTAGGATACAAAACAAAACAAACTTGGTCGGTGACCAACCCGCACAGCGGTGTGGGTCAACTCATATGGAGGTTATGATAAAGTTCAAGCAAACGGAGCAAAACTAGCAAACACACAGATTGATAATACAGGTGGAACTGCTAAATGATCATTGAAGCCAATCTAATAAGACTTATATGTCTGCGTCAAGGTCGTTCTTTCTCATCAATTCATACAAACTCAAATATGGCTAGTACAACTCCGGTTATTCTCATTCTCGGTTCGGGACCCAATATCGGCCATCATGTGGCTCAGGCTTTTGCCACAAAGGGCTACAAAGTTGCCCTTGCATCTAGAAGTCTTAAGGAAGAAGCCAGCAATGCGGACCAGATCCACATTTCCGCTGACCTATCCGATCCCCATTCCGTGAAGAGCATCTTTTCGAAAGTCAAAGCATCGCTCGGTCTGCCAAGTGTTGTTGTTTACAATGGTCAGCATGTTCCTTATGGAAGCCCGTTTACCGAAAACCCGCTGATAACCTTGAAGCATCTGCCGGCGCTCCGAACAATCCAGCGGACCCCTTGTCTATTCCCTTGGCCGACTTTAGTCGAGACTTGCACGTTAACACGACTAGTGCATTTATCGCTGCACAACAGGCGGCTTTAAGCTTCGAGAGACTCCCCGACCATAGCTCCAAGACATTCATCTACACTGGGAATATACTCAACGAGACCACAATTGCAAGTCTTCTGGATGGTGGCGTGGGCAAATCTGCAACGGCCCACATCATTCGCTCTGCTGCTGCCGCATACTCCGATAAAGGCTATAAGTATGCGTTTCCTTATTTCCGCTCTGGTAGTCTTGAAATTGACGAAACGCAGATTCTATTATGCCGATGAGCGGAAGGCTGATGGGACTCCTGCGTACTCTAAGATCAGTGGCGAGGCACATGGAAAATTCTATGCCGAGCTCGCAGAGCACAAGTCTCAAGGTCCTTGGCAACAGACTTTTGTCAAGGATGTGGGATACAAGCACTTCCCAGCTGCTTGACTCCTGCTTCCTTAAAATGGCGAATGTCGTTTGGAGCCTGTGCCCTTTTCATTTTGAAATTTTCTCTGTATTTTGTGTCTTTTTTCGAATGCTTTCATTTTGTTAGCTTACGGATTAACGTGTGCTTGGGGCAACTACCGGTTCACTCAAAATCAATTTGACAACTTTCTTCTCGTTAATTTATTCTCGAACTAATTTTTGCGTAATGACATACCTATTAAGGTTCCTCTACCGCTGCCAGTTTGTCTTGGTAGTATCCTGGTACGAAAGTAAATAACTAGGTAATGTGATCACTTTGGCGTATCATATGTCGTCGTCAGTTGACGAAGTAGCCTGTCTACTTCAGTCGCAATTGATCTTGATTCGTGGGGATCTCTGGCCGATGCCTCTATCACCCGAACAACATCCTGATCTATAGAAGAAAATGAAGCACTTCGGCGCTATAACCGACCTACCGGTGGGGATTGTAAAGATAGGAAAATTCCCTTTGGTTCGAGGTGTTCCAAAACAAATGATGCTTAGTTCCTGTGCCTGTGTTTGACGTCCCTACATCCCTCCTTTTTTATTTGGTGTCTCTTCTTTCGAGCCAAGCACGGGAAACGGACCAAAAACAATCTGAATAATTAGGAAATATAATTATCATAGCGATCGGTTTGGTCGGTGGCCTCCAAGTGAGGCGATGAACCTCTGTGCCGACCATATCGAATGGCCTTCTAACTTGAGCTCCTAGATGCTTTTGGCTCTGGTGGTGGTGCGTGTGGTGGTGATAGTAGACGTATTCATGCAACTCTGACAATTGCAGAGGCACCATGCACTGTAGAGCTGCTCGTGGCACTTTGCCTAGTTATATATAGAGGGTGGGTCGAATCATGAGATCTTATGAACCGTCAAGAGGTGAAGAATTACACGTATGGTGAGAGCTCTTGACCCGAACTATTCATTTTCTCTTATTCCTCTTTTTGTTCTGGCTGGCTATGTCTTTCAAGGACGACTTTGTTCTAGGTTGTCAAGTCATGCAAGTCAATCTGTAGATCTGTCTCGTTGGCAACCGGTCCAGTAAGCTTGGAGTCAGCAACTATACCAGACTCGACAGACACGAAGGCATTCTCTTCCACGGGAATGTCACGGAGCCTTAACTTCAATCCGGCATAAATAATGACCTGCATCATAAGTGCAAGCTCAATCCCCCGATCCTCCATTTCTCTGTAAGAGCGATCGAGTATGCGTTCGATGCCAGTGATGACATTGAAGTCCCGATCAATGGCTAGCGCACTCCGCCGTAGGTAAGCGGCCGGATCACGCAAGCTGGAACATTGACATCACAGCCTGTGGTGGCGAGTGTAGGGTAGGGAGAAGGTGCGGGTTGGCGAGCGTGGATAGACGTTGATGTGGTTGTTAGCGGGGCCTTGCTAGGCTTGTATACTGCTGGGCAAAGTGGAACAATTTACCATATTGAGCACAGATCACTGAGAACGGGGCCTGACCCGTCCATATCGGGCGACAAGAGCTGATGGGCAGCTAGTGCTGGAGTAGATGGAAAAATTGGAGAACTCGATGTTTTGTCTTATCGATAGCGGTGTACAGAAGAACTAGACAGACTTTTATGAACCTGTACCAGAGCTGCACAAAACTGATATTCCATTTTTAGGGAGAATATTTAGAAATTATATTAGCCACTCTATCCGGGGTCTACTTATTGATCTCTCTCAAGGGGCAATATGAAGAGTGCATTGTCGACTGCTATGATATTTCCCATTTCCTCCCCCCCCCCCCAAAAACAACCCGCCTCCTAGGGGCCAAGATCCTCGTATTTATAAGCGCTCGCGATTTCAGTTCCGAAATCAACGATTTATAATGCCCCAGTTCAGCAGCTTTACTTCAAAGCAGAAACTTGACTTAAAGACTACTCACTTCGCCGGCAACTCTAAAACACAAATTATAGCCTCCAAGACATTCGTAATCATTGCTGGCGTCGGTCCCGTAACGGTATGTTCATCTTTGCCTTTAGCTTTATTCTATAACTAACAACAGCACAGGGCACCTCCATCGCCAGAAAGTTTGCTAAAGCCTACTCCGTGGTTCTTCTGGCCCATAATCCGGCTAGCTATAAGGCTATTGTCGAGGAAATCAACTCTGGCGGTGGCCAGGCCGTAGGCATTAGTACAGACCCCACCGATTCGAACAGTCTAAAGTATACTTTAGACCAGATCGCAACGCAGTACTTAGGCTCTGCTCTTGCAGCGGTAATATTTAATTCTGGCGGTAGGTTTACGTGGAAGGCATTCCTAGATCTGATGGACGAGGGTCATCGTTGCATGCGCCTTAGCACCTATCCTAGCATTAACTCTGCGATACACTATGTCTGCACACTAGAAGTGGAACCTGCCCGACCAGTGTATCTATCAGGTGAGACTTATTCCTGCATCTTTTCGGATTGGCACGCTGGCCAGCCCCTTAGCTACTAGTGCTACTCGCAGACCGCGGTTTTCCAAGCCATCGCAGCTTTGAACATAATAGATACTAGGATTGTTGTGCTACCATGCATGTTGCTCCGCAGAGTGCAATTACCTTGTTGGAAACGGTTCAGAATCATGGCACTTCTCGCCAGTAGAAATTTATAAGACGACAAGGTCTCATAATATCTAGCCACCGACATTAACAAATAATAGGGTTTGCGTGGCGACAGATTTCGAAGTCCATTATACTATTATCATACTCAATTCATCTGATATCCTATGCAAGTAGCCTCTCTGTTAGGGTTTACAAATGCTATTTAATCCAATACTAACGCAAACTTAAAAGGAAAAGCACCAGCTTCATAATCTGGGACCAGTAAGTGTCCATCTGGGCATACACTCAGCTTTATATAAACAACGGTACATAAGCAACTGAAAATATGCTCCAGTAGACTTATGATGAATTTAAGTATCATCACCACTGCTCGCCATCACTCGTATCATGCTGTAAACTCACAATAAAGATTTCAGGAGACTTCCCTGGTTAACTCCTAATTAGCTAATTCTGCCACCGCCTAAAGCCTCGAGCTTTATCCCTGAATACAAACATTGTCTTGTAGCTCTTCGAGCTACGTCTTGTCTATATACCTGCCTGATAGCCTAACTATAGCTAGTTCCTAGTTCAATATACCGCTGACCGTGCACCCTAACATTAGGCGTTGCAAGCCGAAAGACGATATAGGCCCTTTAGATTGCTAAGATGCTCAATAATCTCGTTGTACTTATCGGCATATTAGTAGTATCGGCAAATAGTAATATAGAAACGTTTGTTTTATCGAAAGTACTAGTCGGCAATAGTTAAGCCAACTTCGATAGGTTATAACTCAACAGCAATATAAATTATAGAAAAAACTGGTTGAAGATTTAGAATTAGCATATCTCATTACCATATAGTAGCGCTTTTTCTGGTTCAAAAATGCTAATATACCTATTGGTTGAAGTCGGACTTTTTCTAACGGTAACTCTAAAGATCACAAATCCCATCGGCAAGGCTCTGTCTATAAGGGATCTACCCCTTCTGGCCAAAAAACTCTTCCAAAAGCTTTTCTGCTTTAGCAGCTAGTGTGACGTCCGTAAGATCTCGGCCTTTGTTTAGTTTCGGATCATCGAAATTATAGTCAGGTCGAAGTTCCCGGAGGGTCGAGATAATATCAGTCATATTCAGCGGACCTGCAAATACAAATATCCGCTGCAATCGGACGTTAGGTACAAGCAGAGCAATAGCGTATAGCCGGGCAGTATCAGTAACATCAACGTAATATTCTAGTACATTAAAGCAATTTAGCATTTTACTTATCCTGCCTCCTCTAAGTAATAATCGGGGAGAAGAGGGGGGGGGGAAGGAAACAACTTACAAGGTACAAAAAAGTCAAATATGCTTTTGTCGTCTTTCAAAATCCCTCGAACCATTCCTATGGATAACCCTCTAAATTTCTCGTAAAGAATTTCTCCTACCTAAAAACAAATACTTATATAAGCTATAAATCTGGTGGTAGAGTAAAATCGAGACATACGTTAAAGTTCGGAAGGACCGTATTAAATATAAAACGAGGATTATACCCTCCAATCCATTTCTAAGCCATTTGTTCGCCAAGAGTCTTAGAAGCTGTATAAACTACGATTACTTTCTCGTTAGGCTTCGTATTAGAATTACGTACGGCTTTTACGGCAGCCTCATTCTAAGTATCAACAAGGAAATATCAAATCACTAGCTCTTCTCGCCGAAATCACCAGCATGAATAAGCGAGTATAGGCTAACCTTTATTAATTCTGACCCCTTTCTGGTTTATAGCAGGGATTAAAGCAGCTGCAGAGGATAATATCATAACGAATCTTTTGACAGAAGGGTATCTGTATACAGCCTCTAGGACATTCTCGACTGCTCGTACAACCTAAGGAATAACAGTATCGGGATCATTACTAAACAAAACATCAGAAGCCTAGTCAAGTATCACATTAGTTAAATATACAACTGAATAGAACCGAAGAGTTTTTCACCTTCTCTCAGCAGATTAAGGAGAAAGCTTAATTTACAAATATACCGTATGCACTACCCCGGCTATACCATTCATACAATTATCTAGCATCTTAGGGTTTTCAAAATCAGGAAGTACAAAGCTTTCAAAGACGCCTCGACCGAATTTATTCTCGAAGAAGGCGTCAAGCCATGGCTTTGCCGTCCTAACCGTTCCCCGCACTCGATATTCAAGCTGTAGCAAGGTATTAATAACATAAGAGGCAATAAAACCGTTTGCTCCCGTAACAAGGATACAGGATCCCGTAGGAAGGCCAGTAAGATTCGACATTTTGAGTGGGCAGTGGTAATTTCTTTGACAAAGGCGTGGTTCGTACACGTTGATATTACACCACGCGTCTTTGGCAAAATGCACTTAATAACCTGTGGAATATGCGGCAATTGACTGTTTTATATCCGAAAAACAATTTTGTTGTGTTCTTGTTAACTTCATCACATAATTCAATGATCATTGAGTTCTGTATCTGACGTTATAAGTCGCCGACTGCTAGATCTCATGTTAGAGAATGCTAACCAGGTTCGGAGTTTCGGCCTTCCGAAACTTTGCCATTTGGAGAAATCAGACACGGACTCGTACCTCCACATTTAACGCGCCGTTTGATTTATCAGCTACTACCTTCATGCCGAAAAATAGACTTTTTTCAACAAATCAGAACGTTCCAGTCTGATATTTGGATTGATGGAATCAAATTTTGCACTGTTTGCATAATTTGCACTAGCCGCGGAAGCCAAAATGAAATTTCCAGATTTCGACATTCTGATATTTGGCCACTTAATCAAATATGAAATGGCGTTTCAAATCTTGAAATTGACCTAGTCTAAAAATAGTAGAAATATCACGTGCTAACATATTAGGGCACCTTATGGCGGAAAGGGTGACATTGAGCTCAGCCGTTATCTAAACGCCGCCGACGAGCTGGTTGCTCGTTGTGATGTGAATGGCGGCTCCGCAATGGCGCAACGGGACAGTGTGCGTGCGTTGGAAGCACAGATAATTGAATAACACGACTGTATACCTAGGAAAAGCCCTCGAGCGCGCGGGCTAACTACCGAAGCCACCAGTTGCACACAATCGGGTGCCACTCGCGTATCTATATATCTGACCCAGCTTCTATAGATTCAATGCTATCCTCAGTACCCTCAGCCTCCGTAGCCTCCTCAGCCCTCAGCGGCGCTTGCATTTTGCATTTTAACCCACTTGGCCCCAAAAGCAATAATAGTATACGTACCAGCCACGGCGATGGCGACAATCAAGGCAGTCTGGATACCACGCACACATGCGCGAAGAATAAAAGGCACATCAGCTGGGGAAAACACTTTCCGCACATCCGTGGCGCCCGTGCTGATGACCTGGAGCGGGTCGATCCATGGAGCGGTCGCGCTTAGCTGCTTCAAGAGTGTGGATTCGAAGGCGCTCTCTCCGGCGGAGACGAAAAAGGCGCCACCGATGGTTTGCATGACTATAGAATAGATGGATCAGAGGGTAGAACCCAACGAGTAATTATTATGGCAGTTAAACTCACAGACGAGAATAGCCGACCCAGACGGTATGTCATCCGGCGGTAGAGTCGCTTGCGCCGCAGAGACGGGCACTTGTAAGCCCAGCCCGACCCCAATGCCGGTGAGGACCTGGTATCCGATCCACTTAGAGGATGGACTGCCAATTGTGAGTGTGTACAGTAGCCCGACGTCAATGGTCGTCAGCGCGCCACTGACTGCCATAAAAACATCGGGCGACCGGTGATGGTAATCGAGATGCCCGACACGATAGTCGCAAGGGTGATGGCGACAATCAATGGCAGATTGCGTACTTCACTCTCAAGCGGTGAGACGTCGTCAATAACCTGGAAGTAGATGGGAAGGAAGTATAGCGTCAGGAAATAAGACCCCGCAATGGCGGCCGCATAGAGCATGCCCTGGTGGACGTAACGGCTCCTGAGAATCCGCGGCGGAACCATCGCACGGTCGTCCAACCACCATTGAGCAAAACTAAAGGCGATTAGAGCCGGCCCGAATCCCACCCAGAGGCCAATGATGGTCGAGGAATCCCACACGCGCGTGAGGCGACCCCACTGCAATGCCAGAATATAACACTCGACCGCGCCCATGACCTGAGTAATGCCAATCCAACTGAAGCATCTTCTCAGAACGTAGCCGGCACCAGCTTCGCATGCGGCGGCAACTTAAAGAAGATGACAAGCGTCGCGGCAGCCAGGCCACCAAAGGGGAGATTGCTAACTTGGGTTAGCCCTTGCCATTCCCAAGGCGAGATAAAGAGACACGCACATATAAAGTACCACCGCCAGCTGAGTCTCTGCGTGAAAACTCCGCCTAGTAAGGGTCCGATGGCCGCCGAAATCCCGTATGAGGCGCCTGCGATGTCCAGGTACGCAGGTCGCTTCGCCGGGACGCCAGGAAGGCGACGAGGATGAAGGCGCCCGACGCAATGCCAGCCACACCCAAACCTGCAAGGACACGTCCGACGATCAAGGCCGTGCTACTGGGGGCGACCGCTATGGACAGGAGTTAGCCGACCGCCACGCCAAAGCCCTCGGGGACACGGAAAACACGAACCGCAGACGAGACTGCCCAATTCAAAGACGAAGACGGCGACGAGGAAGGTCCATTGCAATGGAAAATACTTGAAGAGCTTGCCCCATGATGCCGTAAACGAGGCAAAAGTCAGGAAGAAGGCCGACCCGTACCAGCCGATTTGAGTCACGCTGTGGAACTCGTCGGTAATCAGGGGGATGGCCGTTGCAATGATGGTCTGGGTCGAGGGTCAGCGGAGGGTGGGCGGCAGGAGAGGGAATGAGATCCAGCGCCTCACCTGATCGACAGCCACCATGACAATGGACAGGACGAGCGACAGAAGGATCAACAGCAATGCGAGTCCCCTGGGATATTCGTCTTCGGAGGGCACACCTTCGGGGTAGGCCGCCAGCGGAGGGGCCTGTGGATCGCCGCCTTCTGCCGTAACTTCCCTCTGCTTCACCAGTGCATGAGCCGGCGCTAACGCGTCGAGCGTCACCTCTGCGTCGGTACGTGCGTCGACTGTCATCGTGGGCAGGGCTCGACATGTGACCTTTTCTTTGGCGTAATGCGAAACGTGGCCGTGCCAGCTTTAGGGGCTCATTGCCGCGCTGGAGAAGCAGGTCGGGGATATAAGGATCTCGCGCTGGCCGATACTCGGACCAGGGGCTGGGAATAAAGATTAAAAACAGCCCTTGTCTGTGCCAGGACAAGAATAGGGCAGCTAAATGCGGTATTTGTCAAGGGACTCTCGGGGGCGGCCAGAATCCTCTCCTTGGTATCATAGAGATAACTGACATTTGGAGGCAGGTATACTTCAACGGCAGGAGCATCAGGACATGAATTAATCAGTCCGGCACCCGAGCAAACCGAACGCTTAGTAAGCTAGATAATTAATTCTCTTATAATTTCATCGGTATTTATTAAGCCCGCCACCCTAGTAATCAACACAAACCAGGACTATACAGCAACCCACTTAGACCTTAGGGCGCTGATTAGTCTTTAGTCATCGATACAAACAGCATAAACTATAATGCAAACAAAGCTTAACCCGCCCAGATCGACGTTAATTAGACCTTAGTTATCAACACAAACAGCTCAAACTATGTAGGATACATACAAAATAAACTTACTTAGTGACCCACTCACAGAGCGGTGTAGGTCCGCTCAAAGAGAGGTTATAATAAAGTTCAAGCAAACAGAGCAAAACTAGCAAACATACGGATTAATAATACAGGTAGACCTGCTATCTGATCATTAAAGCCAATCTATGTATAACTTATAATTTATAATACTGTAGTATGTTCATTTAAGATTCTAGACTAAACTCTATATATGTCTAAAGCAAGGGTCCACTTTAAATTACCCACCCCCATACAACATCATAACAGATTTAAAATCAGCAAAAGCAAGCAAACGTACTCAAGGTCGATGTATAAATACATACGCTATTGCCGCTCTTCTAGGTTCATCAACTCTCAGAATCATCCAACAATCTCACCTCAGTCTTCGTAAATTTTATAAACCATCACCATGTCTTCCTGGGTAGTTACTAGAGTCTCCCGTAGCCTTAGCGTACGATCTCATCCCTGCTTCATGCACAAGACTCGTATAACTAATGCACATAATTCATTGTCTAGTTTGAGTTCATCCGCCAGCTCTCTAAAGATCCGGCCAATATCGTTTTCGGCCTCATCCGCGACAAAGTAGCCGTCAAGTCCAAGGTTACCGCTAAAATCGGCCAGAAAAATATTCATATCATTCAGGCCGACACCACGGACCCAATAGCATTAGCAGTGAGTTAATAAGCAATACATTAAAACCGAAGTCCAAACTAACCTAAAGATTTCGTAGAAAGCAGTTCAGTACATTTCGGAGAAAACCAATAGCGCCCTTGATTATATCATAGCCAATGCCGCGCTTCAATCTAAGACTGCACTAGTTAGTTTTAATACTCTATAAGTTCTAGGCAGAGTACCCAAGATCACTGGTCAGTTAATTCGGGATTAACTTCTCCACAGGAGCCACGATCCAAACGCCCTTGAACAAGATATGATTAAACACTTCCGAGTCAATACCATCGGCGCCGTCCATCTTTTCAATGCTTTCATACCCCTGATTCTAAAAGGTCGGGCGAAGAAAGTGATTGCCATCTCCACGGGCATATCAGACCCTAAGATAACACTCAAAGCCGATATCTACCAAGCCGCATCCTATGCAATAAGCAAGGCAGCCCTTAATATAGCCATAGCCAAGTTCAGCGCCTTATACCGTAAGAAAGACGTACTCTGCATAGCTATATGCCCTGGTGCTATAGACACTGGCAGTCTTAATATTAGTTTGTGGTTGTCTTGATAGGTAAAATAGAATACTTTTTGCTAACGTTTCGATAGAAACGGAGGAGGAGGGTCAGTTGGCTATAGCTATGTTTGGGAAGTTTAAGCAATATTCCCCCACCTTCCAAGGACCTATAAAGCCAGAACACAGTGCCAAATCGGTCTTAGCTCTCGTGAAAAAAGCTACTGTTGACAGTGGTTATACAGGCGTCTTTCTCTCCCATACAGAGTCTAAGCCCTACCTTTAAGACTATATATAACGAACTGGGGTTGTTACCTATCCTAAGGGACCTAGAGCAGTCTACATAACTGCTAGGCAGTAAAGATTTCTTAAGTATAGGCAGAATTCGCCCTACAGGGTAGACTACTCTCAGTTTTTATGACTAGATGTTACGGACCATGCGACATGAGGGGCCGCAGGGGCCGCAACCTACAGATGGGCCACCAAGAGCCAACCGTTCCTAGGAGAGGAACGCAGAACCAGATCACGTGAACAACGGCCGGAATCAGCCTCTGATTCGCCGTGTCAAACAATACTGCACTAAACCACGAGACGGCTAGCGCGACGCAAGAACGGGCGTTCTTTCTACCGTCACCAACACTACGCCATAAGTGCAAGTAACCGGTAAAAGACCCACGTGACCAACCTGGTGCAGGAAACGGCCACGCTTTCACACGTTCCGGAATTACGCCTGGAATATGGGAACCTGTGAACTCGCACGTGACCACAAGGTATACCAGAGGGTATACCAACGGGTAGATGGAAGGACACGATCTGGTATACCACCAGATGTACCTTCTAGTATACCACACCACGGAGGATTAGATATATAAGGACACTCCTTTGCGCACATGTATTTAGTTCTTCGCGATCAATCAATCTAAGTTACTACAGTATACCTTTGGATTACTCTTCATTCAGTTTCAACTCTTGTGACAAACATACTACGAGTAGGGGAGCTCTTCGGACTGACCTATTCGGCGCACTACCTGGCGCATCCTTCGAAGTTACTCAACAAGATCCGAGCCCGTGTAAGGCTTAGCACAGCAACGGTACGATTGCGAGTCGATACTTGAGGATTACGAGTGATAGACATCACGCACAACCAACGACACAGAGAACAACTGGTAAGTTGTTTACCAACGATCTAACCACTCACCGTGACCAGTTAGCAACGCGTAACACTAGACTGCTGAGGATTTTCTTCGTCCGATTACCACTAAATTTTTAGAAGTTCTAAGTTTATATCTAATCTATATATAGTTTTATTTCTAAATATTACCGTCTTCTATAATAATCGTACGGGTTAACCCTAAATCATCAAAAATCAGAAATCTTTTCAATAGGGTACAACCGGAAGGGCCTACTTTTTAGTTTTAGACTCATACAAATTTTTTATAACAGAGCTTATATTTACGTATAACCCCTAAATATATACTATTACTTTATAAGCTACTTTCCCTAATACTTTCATATACTTCCTAAATTTAATTACTACTATAGAGAAAATATCTCTATCCTTATCTAGGAGCTTTTTACTCCTCTCTATACTCTGTCTATTCTTATCTGCTATAGCTGTAAATCTGCTGTATAATTAGACTAGGTTACTATTTATCTTTACTCTTTCCTATATACTATTCTATCTTATACAGTATCCTAGATTTAATAATATCTCTCTACTCTCTAGCCTTAATTACTTATTACCTTTACTTTTAACCTTCTTCTTTCTTATCCTCCTTCTTTTAATCTTCTTTCTCTTTATTATAATAGTATCTAATATTATCATATATCAGTATATCGTTATATCTATTTTATAAAGAAGAATATTACAGAATACTAGTATACTGTCTATAACAAGTATATCTTTACAAAACTATCTAGTTCAACTAGCTTATCTAACTCTTTATCTTCTTCTCTCTTACCAGAAGAACAGATCTAATTATTTACTCGCTCTATAACCTGTTAGTAGTTCTATTACTAAGGGCCTAACTCCTAATACTTTACTATAATTAACTCTATATAATTATAATCTAAAGAGTCTGAGTTAATATCCTCTACTATTAATTATTTTTTCGATTAGCTTAAAGAGCAATACCAGTAGATCTTTTAACCTTCTAATTATACGGTAGAGACTATTAAGCTTAATAAGGCTATCCTATAGCTTCTTTATATAAGATATACTTAATATCTAGTAGGTTAACTCTCTAAGACCCTCTATATATTAATCAAGCCCTCTGAGTCTGATTCTCTTAATCCTCTATAGGTAATCTATTAAGCTATAGATAGTATAGCTTATACAGTACAGAGGATTACTAAATAATATAGCTATCTAATCTATATTAAGGTTATCCAAACAGAGATTAATCAGGCTCCTTATCTTCTGCTCTAGGCCTAGAGATAATTATCCGTTATCTTATATCTTAGTAGCAGATTATCTATTTCTTTACTTATATACAGTAACCTACAGAGCCTTCTCACTCTGCTTTCCCCTATTATTAATTTAACTACTGCTAACAGAAGGTATAGAATACTCTCTGGTTATTAGCTATACAGTTCTAATCTTAATCTTAATTACCTATTCTGTATAAGAATAATATTAATTATATAAGCCTCAGCTCTGCTGCTCTTCTCTCCCTATTCTACTTCTAGCTAATTAAAAAGGCCTATCTTAGCTTCCGTCTTAAGCTATTAAATTAGTAAGTAGGGGCTAATAAATATAGATTTACTCTAGTCTGTATACTAGCTATTCTTAGCTACTCTTATTATGAATATTATACAGATATAACTAAGATCCAGTTAAAGATATAACTAGGATCTAGTTAAAGATATAACTAAGATCTAGTTAAAGATATAACTAAGATTTAGTTAAAAGGCTTAGTAACCCTAAAAAACACCGGATCTTCGGTATACTAGGTAGCCGGCCAGATCTTCGGTATACTAGATAACCGGCCGGATAGCTAGATAACCGGCCGGATAGCTGGAATACTAGCTATCCGGTATAACTATTCTAAGGTTAAATAGGGCCTTCTTTCCTTTAGAAATAATAATACACATCAATCAGAATCCTCTATAATCAAGCAACTAAGTCCTTAATCTTATTGATTACTCAGTAATCAACTATCTATAATAATTCCTCCTTTATCTATATTCCCCTAAGCCTAGTAAGACCTTTGCAGTCTTATACTTATACAGACTAATATACCCTAGATTCTTTCCCCCTAATTCTCTCTCAGATTATTAAGCTTACTTACTTTATAGTCCTTAGCCAGATACTCTAGCTTATTCCCTATACAGAATAGATTATCTACTACTTCTAGATAATCAGACCTACTATAATCTTAATCTTCGAAGACCACTGACCGAACCGTCTTTAAATGGCCCTTGAGGGTATGCTGCAGGCTGCCCGTCGCTATGTCCCAGAGCCGTACTGTACTATCATCAGAGCCAGAAGCCAGTAGCCGGCTCCCGGGCGAGAAGCCTACAGACCTAACCCAAGGGACCTGGTGCAGTCTACCTGACTGCATGGCGGTGAGGAGCTCTTAAGTATGGGCAGTATTCGCCCCACAGGGTAGACTGCAAGCACTTTTTCTAGAGTAGACTGCAAGCACTTTTTTTTGTACGATTAACCTCAGATTTTTACAAGTTCTAAGTTTATATATAATCTATCTCCAGTTTGATTTCTAGAAGCTACCATCCCCTATAGCAGCTGTACGAATAAACCCTAAATTATCCAAAACCTTAAATATTTTTTGATAGGGTACAACCGGGAGACTCCACTCTAGGGGTTTAGACCCACTTTAATATCTTAGCTAAAAGGTGATTATTAACGTACGACCCCTGAATACATATTATAACTTTCTGAGTTACTTTCCAGTACTTTCTGATTATCTCTAGTTTTAAACCCTTAATTATGGAAACTAATATTCCTGCTCTTATACAGGAGATTTTTACTCCTCTCTATACTCTACCTATTCTTATCTGCTATAAGTGTCAATCAGCCGTACGACTAAGCCAAGTTATTACTCATTTAATCTCTTCTGCACATAAGATTTCAGCCAGAATTGCTTCTAAGATCCAGGAAGCCCTTCCTACCCTCTGGCCACAGTTACTCACTACCTTTACATCTAACTCTATCCCTAATTATCCTTTACCTTTTCCTTACCTTCCCCTTTATTATGATGGTATTCAGTGCCAATTTACCCCTACTTATCACTATATCTGTTGTACGACGAAGGTTATAAAAGAGCACTGGCGGACGTCCTACCAATGGCTTGCCTAAGCTATCTCTACAGCTTCTACCCAGCAGCTCTTAGAGAACCGTACGCGCTCAGTCTCTTGCCAACGTCTCTATCGCCGAGGGCCTTACTCATACTATTTTACTGTGACCAACCCTGAAGTTAGAGAGTCTGAATCAGACTAATTAGATCCTGCCTCTACTATCCTTGATCAGCTCTTCAACCACCTAGAAGAGCAGCATCAGGAGATCTTTCAGCCTGCTGATCGTACGATAGAGGAACTAGAGCTGAATGAGGCTACACCATGGCTTCGTCGTACCCGGTGGTCCCAGTATCTGTTGAACCAGCATCCTGAGGTCCTCTATTCCTTAATTAAGCTACCTGAATTTGATGCTATAGATCTACTGTCGAGAATCCACTAGGCTATAGACAGTATAGCTCGTACGGCACAACAGATTGCCAAACACTGTAGCTATTTGATCCGGGTCGAGGTTGTACGTACTGAGCTTGACCAGGCCCCCTATACCCTCCTCTAAGCCTATATAGACACTGAGACGATCAGTTCCTATATTATACCTTAGCAGCAGATTATCTGTTTTTTTGCTCGTACGCAGCAGCCTTCAGAGCCCTCTTATCCGGCCTACCCTTACTACCGCTTTAACTGCCGTTAAGCTAAGGCCTGGGAGGCCCTCTGGCGTCTAGCTAGCCGATCTAGCTCCCCCGATCCGTATAAGAGTAATCATGAGCCTTTAAGCCCGTCTGACACTAGAAAAACCCTGTTTTACTTTCAGCCGATCGAGAATGCCTGTCTTACCTTCTGTCTGGAGCTGCTGAACCAGCGAATCGGGGCCGATAAGTACGAATGCGCTCTGGTCTGCGCCCTTGCAGTCCTTGGCCGGTCTCGTACGGGCTGGTATACCCCTGATTCCTTTTCTCCTATCTTATCTAGGATTATTAAGCTTGCTCGCTTTATGGTCCTGGGCTAGGCTCTCTGGCTTGATCCCTACGCGGA